TTACTCTTGTTGCTCAGGCTAGAGTGCAGTAACGTGATCTTGGCTCACCGCAACCTCCGCCTCCCGGGTTCAAGCGATTCTCCTGCCTTGGCCTCCCAAATAGCTGGGATTACAGGCATTTGCCACCACGCCTGGCTAATTTTTGTATTTTTTAGTAGAGATGGGGTTTCTCCATGTTGGTCAGGCTGGTCTTGAACTCCTGACCTCAGGCGATCCACCCACCTCGGCCTTGGAAAGTGCTGGGATTACAGGCATGAGCCACTGTGCGTGGCACTCAGCTAATATTTTATTTTTGTATCGAGACGGTGATCTCACTGTGTTGCTCAGGCTGCTCTCAAACTCCTGGCCTCAAGTAATCCTCCTGTTTTGGCCTCCCAAAGTGCTGGGACTGCAGATGTGAGCCACCTCGCCCAGCCCTTGGGGATCTTTCGAAATGTCCGCAGCACCCAAGGCTGAGAGTTCCTGCAGCAGCTGAAGGACTTTGACTTTCCTTTTGTCCTGGTACACCCCTTCCTTCCTTCCTTCCTTCCTACACTCATTCAGTCAAACACTGGTTGAGCACCAACGTCTCCCAGCACTGTGGGCTCCACCCTGGCCTCCGGAGGGTCGGGCTGGGACCCCCAGTTTGGAGATTGCTGGTGCTGCAGCAGAATGGGCAGGACACCTTCCTATTCATTCATTAAATTATCAGGGCCTCCCCAAAGGCACAGGGTTTTGTTGGCATCTGAGTTTTCCCCTCCTGTAAGCTAGGAAGGAGATGTCTTCCCTCAAGGAGCTGTTGGCCAGATCAAAGACTGAAATAATGCTACACAGAGCTTCCGTTGGCTGATAAATGTATCAGGAGCCAGGCACTTAAAATATATTATCCCGTTGAATCCCCAAGTAGGATTAAAACCTCAAGGCAGAGATGGCTCTTATCCTCATGTGACAGATGAGGAAACTGAGGATCAAAGAGGCGAGGTCTGCTGCCCAAGGCACCAAAAGGGCAAGTGGGACCAATGGAAGCCTAGCCAAGGCCCAGCAGGTGCCCAGGGACTAATCCTCCTGGAAACGGATTACCTCACTGCACCCGCCCACTGGGCTAAATCTGCCTGGTAACCGGTGACATCATCACTAATTCCATACTCGCACTCAACCTATGGGATAACTGATGACATCACTGAACGAACAAAGTAACTGCGATTTATTGAAGGCCTCAGGTGTGCCCAAGGCTGTGCTAGGCAGACTCTCCTCTGAGCTCACATAAGGCCCCTGTGGTGCCTGCTACTGCATGAAATAACCATAATAATTTTAGTTCAAAGTTATGGAATGCAGACTATGAGCTAGGCTCTGTTTTAACCTTTTTTTTTTTTTTT